AGTACAGAATATGACACCTAATATATAAAGAGTGGAGGAAGAAGAAAATGAAGGGAGAAAATAAAAGAACATTTAGATTGTGTTTGAAATCGCATAATAAGCGAGTTAAGTTAGATTGTTAGATAGTAAAAAAAGCTGCCCTTGAACCTTTGGTAACCATCAGTCTAAAACCTGCAATGGCAATAAGTACATATCTATTACTAATCATCCTAAATGTTCATGCACTAAATGCACCAATCAAAAGACAGAGTTATAGAATGGATAAAAAACAAGACCCATCTATAAGCTGCCTTCAAGAGACTCACTTCAAACCCAAAGACATACACAGACTAAAAGTGAAGGAATGGAAAAAGATATTTCATGCAATAATAGGGAGAACCGCAGCCGTGGCTCCTAAAGTTCTACTTTGTTCCACAGCCTCCTCTGCTTCCCAGGGATAAAAAAATTGTATCCAGTTTGTGAATCTTTTTACTACTAAAACATTGAGCAGTACTGTTTTCCAAGAGATTGAAAAAGCTGCTTCTGCCACATTTTCTCAAATCATTTTCATGCTTGTGGGAGGCTTGATAGCTACAGAAATACAGAGTGCTAAAATATATTATTAGGGTTTAATCAGAAGTCAAACACAGAAGTTCATGTCTGTAAATCATACCTATACTATAAAAAGTGAAAAATTCTACCAGTCAGCTTCACTTTTTTTTAATGAAATAAGGAGCCTCTGACCACAAAGGGTAAGGTTTGGGGGTTTTCTGTAGGATACTGTAGATGATAACATCAGGGAGAAGACCTTGTCCTGGATAATCTTATCTTCAACAAGGGCTTCAATTAGAGTCTAAATGCTAATGATTCCCTAAGTCTGTAGCTCTGTCCTGAGCTCTAAAACTCCAAATTATAATCCTTATCTGATGTCCCCACCTTCAAGCCTTGTTCATATCTCAAACTCAACAGGACTAAAAATCAATTTCATAAACTCCCCTACCTTATAAATGCTATTAGTCTCTATCCTATTATTACAGTAACTGTTGAAGTAACCTGCTCACAGTCATCTTATCTCCATTTCTTTTCCATGTGGCAATCCACTTTCTCTACCTGCTATTGAAGATATTTTTCTAAAGCACATTCATACATGGAAATGTCATCAATTGTGCACAGTTATCTGGCATATCTTGCTTGTCTACAGAAAGTTTGTAACACCATGCTTTTAAGGGCCTTAGCCATCTCTCTGTTCTCCTCCCTATTTCATCTCTTGATCCCCTCTTCCTATGGATCCTTCCCAGCAGTCAGCTGATGTCTCCAAAGATGCCAGGCATTTCTGTGCCCTCTGTGTATCTGCTCGTGCTGTTCCCTTTTCTCCTGTCCTATTTCCCATCTTCTCAGCTTACTCATCCTTCAGTAAATTATCTGCATGGACCTGTCTGACCAGCTAGATTGCAAGCTCCTTCTAAAAGGGAGTGTCTTAATCATTTCTCTGTCTGTAGTACTTGGTCCATAGGGAATATTAATGTTTTAATAAATGAATCCTCTGATGTTCTCTGATGGATTTGAAAGCATAGCTATGTGTGTCTTTTATGTAAAAGTCAAGATTCCGGTGACCTCAACTTTACACAACCGCAAATCTGAAATCAGATTAAAACGGACAAACAAGAAAAAACATTAGAAGGGTAACAAGCTTCAGCATTAAAGCCATGCTCTGTCTTTTCTAAAATAACCTCAGGCTTTCTCTCAGAAGCTATACATTCTTATTTAGTGTAACACCTTACAGAGTTGTTTAATTGCTTCTCTGGTTCCCAGTAGATGAACAAACCTGAAGCAGAGAAAGGAGGATATGTGCCCATGGTGGCCATCAGAAGGAGCCCACAGCTTTCCCTCGAGGGAAACGAACCAGAAAGGAGATGGGAAACTAATACATAGCACAGAGTAGTGATAGAACTTAATATGATGCATCATCAAGGAAAGGTGGTTTTAGGTCCTGCGTCCTCTGCTTTAGAAGGCAGTATATTCTGTGAAATACTTTATAAAGATTTAATGGTCAAAATAGTTGTAACAATTTTAACATTTAAAGAAATAAGATTTAGGTACTTCATCAATTTACTTATATGGAGCACCTAATTACCTAATGATGCCAGGTAATGGTTCCCTAGTGTCACAGATCTGTTTTTCACAAATTTTACATATAGAAAATATAGAAGTCTATTAGAAGAGGAAAGATTTTCTACTAAGTAGCTTCTTCCCCTGAGTTCAGTCCATTATTACTACAATATTTATAAACTATTGACAGTTTGCACCAGTAAGGTAGTATAAGATATTTATGGAATATCTTAATGCAAAATTGTTTGCTTTGTATGATGTCATTACTCCTAATCTTAGAGTAACCCCTTTCTTTGAGTTATTTTTCCTGCTTTCCTGTTCCTACCCACTTTCATGTTTAGCAGTATAGTTTAATAGTTTCTAGGTATGCATACAATCTCTAAAGTTTAAATATTTTTTGGAATATCTGGAGTAGAGATATGAGACTCATGCATATGAATCAATTATAAAATAATACATGACTCTAGAATCAAATACTTAATGTGTTGTTTAAATCATGAATGTTATATAGAAATTCAGATGTAGGAAGGATTACCATGGGCTAAAATGGAGACGAAATGGAACTGGATCCTGTGTGGACACACCTAGGCATGTCTTTCTCAGGAAAGCATGGCTGCATATGGTCTTTACTGGCCCTTCATCTTGCCACTGTCTGTTTATACAGTTCACAAAGTTTTGAGGTTCCCTGTTGGCTTATTCTTTATCCCCACCATGATTTGAACCATAGTAACCATACAATAGTACTTGGATTAAAATTTAATGAAGAAGGTATGTAATACTATGCATTATATTATATAAAATGAATATAGTAAGCTAGGTTCTTTTGGTGATGTGACAGCATATTTTATATACATACCAGAACTTCTTGTACACCAAAGCAAGTTGTTTTCACCTTTGCAGTCACCATCCTGGGAACCTCTGCACTCTTTCCCGTAACACTGTCATTCCTGTATTTTTGGAACTCCTCTTTTGAATTTCCTTCAGTCTGTGACTCATTCTTTTCATTATCCTCAGTGGTGACACATCTTTTCAGTTGAGAATGGTTTTGGGTTTTGGAACCAAGAGTCACTTTAGGCCAGGTACAGTGAGTAAAGTAGAGGAACAAGCTTTTTGAAAAAGGCTATTTTTGGTTAAAATTCACATATGGCTATAAAACAATGAGAGTGTTTTCTGGCCGGGCTCATAAAATAACCAAAGACACCTCTCCTCTTAAAACAAGAAATAAGCTGGAAGTTTTAACACATTAAAACCAAGTCTGTATTAGTCTCCTATCATTTTCCTGCTCCACAGTGGATCGCGGCTCGCTGAAGTCCAAACCCTGCTTTGCCTGGCTCCCCTCCCTCCCCCTCCCCCTGGCCCATTGTTCTCTGGGTCCTTCATCCTTCCTCCTCAACAGGGCCTCCTCCCAGGGCCCTCCTCACTGCACCAAGGCAGCCTCCTTCTCAAGGACCAGTACAGTCCCTACTCCCCAGAGAGAATTTTCTCTCCATGTAATTTATAATGAAGCTACTCCCTTTTTGCTGGAACTCTGCTTAATAAAAACAAAAAATAACAGATGCTCTCTCCAGGAAAATGTACGTGTGAGCATGCAGAACTTTGCACATTAGAAGCTTCTTCATGGGCTTAAGTGAAGGCATCTCCCTATAATCTGTACCACATACAATAGGGTTTAATTGCATAGGGTCTTGGATCAGTCCCTAAATGTATATAGTTGCTAATCTTACACTACCAAATAACTCAGAAGTTTCTTAAGCCAAAGAAATACTTGAGTACCTTTTTTTCTTTCCTTAGAGTACCCACCAAGAGGCTGAGTATGTATGTAATAGCATTCTGTTAATCATAGTAAAGTTTAATAGATACTTTTAAACTACCTACCTGTCACCATTGCTTTAAAAGTTTCTGCAGGAGATGAGAGTTTTAGATTTGTTTAATGTTATATAAGATATAAAAGCCCAAGTGTTAGGTCATATATCTCAGGGAAGCTTAAGCCTATAAAACATCCCTAAAATATGTTTTTCAGAAGATAATCCATATCTTGCTGTTTGGACATAAAGATAATTACAGTAGAGCTCAGGATGCCTGTTACATAGAACAGATTTTATCCCCCATACACATAAGACATGAGGTCTCTCTCCTACTGTTACACAGAAAATCAGTAAAGGATGTACTAGTGTTTTCCCCAGAAGCCAGTGTAATCAAACTAAGTCATTATAGGCAAAATATCATTTAGATGAATCATACCATTATTGTCAAGCTGTAATGTATACAGTGAAAATTTGACAGGCACTTCATTTTCAAATTGGCTCAGCCCATGTCAGAACTTACACAGCACTGTTTATATTATACGGGCTATTTTAAATCATAAATTTAAAACTCTATTTTATCAGAATGCTAGGGATAAAAGTATTCTAGATAATTCCATTTTCTGATTAACTAGTACTTAAGTTTTAAGCATTTGGTAAAATTCAGGACTGATTGGTTAATTTAACCTGCATTTGATCTTGTCACATTCTTGGGTGATTTCCGCAAGTGTTCATAATTATCGTAGTCCTCCATAGCTGGCGAGGATTTGAGAGATTAGAGTGACTATATCCAGAACATCTGTCTGTTTGTTGGAAGTGGTGGATTTGTCTACCTTTTTAAAAAATACATTTTTTCATCAGCTAATTTTTTTCATTTGCTCTTTCCTAAAAGCAGAGTTTTTAATTGTCTTGTTGCAAATTACTTGGGGTTCTTCAAAGATGTGGTTTCTTGATTCTTCAGGGAAGGAATTCCTATTTTAATTGTTGAACCGTATTTCAAAGATGATGTAAGGAGTTTGCTGAAATATTTGTGCTAAAGCTCATTAGACTTCAACCTATTGTAGATAATTTTACTCTATTAGTATCTTCACTTTTTTCCCCTATATCCAGTTAAAAAATCTAAGTTTAGAAGAATTACAGATGCGGTTAAAAGCGCTGGACCCCATGATGGAACGAGAAATAGAAGAGCTTCGTCAGAGATACACTGCGAAAAGACAACCCATTCTGGATGCAATGGATGCAAAGAAAAGAAGGCAGCAGAACTTCTGAGTTTGATTTTTTTCTGTTTCTTTAACTTTTCTGGAGACCAAGAAACCACTAAGAATTAGAGGAATATTCTGATCATTTTTTAATTTCTAAGATTTATGCTCTACAACTAGACAATAGTCAAAAACTGATGATGGTACATACCCAGAAATTCCCAAAAGGCAGAATTTACAACTGTATCCACTATGTTTTCATTCTTCTTAAATGATGAAAACAACAGAAATGTGTTCTTTAGATCTGTCAGCTGCATACCAGCACTAAAACTATGTTATAAAATGAAGGCTGTGTTTAGAGACTTTGAAAATCCAAAACTGTTGTTTAATTGTACAGCACTGAAGGGCTTTATGTTACAGTATTCTTTATTGTTATCTAGTAGGCTATTTATTGTATCCCCTTAGGTAAACTTATTTATTTATGCTATTTCACTTTGTTCTGTCTTTAAGGACAAGATTGGGATAGCTTTGGTGAAAGTAAGAGCATGTTAATAGTTGATAATATGCAACCAAATTATACTTTAAGCAGGCAACTATGTGGTACATTCCTTTATTTCCAGGATAGTTTTCCAATAGAAGTAAAGCAATAATAGCAGTCCTACCCAAGTGGGCCAGGCATTTTTTATACTGAAGCAATAATTCCATTTTTACCTTCTGAAATTTTATTTAATTTTTTTATTTGTGGTATTTGGTACAAACAATATATATTTAGGTCAGACAGTTATAATGTTTAAAACCAAAGAAATCAATGGAATCCTTGCACAAAAAAGTATGATAATTATTTTAAAAGAAATAAATCTTTAAGACAAATGTAATTTGTTAATATTGTTTCATGTTTCATGTGTAGGTCTAATAGCTGGACTGTATCAAATTGTAATCAGCTCATCAAATTTATTTCTGTGAGAATGTGCTCAATTGTCACAGGACTTTTTTTGTTGATTTCATTTATTTCCTGGGAATTGGTAAACATCATGTGCCTAATGATAATGAAATAGCAAAAGCATTTATACAGAACTGTGCAAGCCTTGGGGACTAAAATAAAAGCTAAAACTATTAAAAAGATACTCATTTTTAAGCTGAATGAACATTTACATGATTGAACTGGGACCAGTCATTTCCTAAGCTACATATGGCCATCTTGATGGTGTTTGTTCTTCTGTGGGTTTAATTACTTTGTATAAATCATAAAGACAAATAAATTTTACTGTGCCACCTAGCACATTTCATCTCTACGTCATTTTTAAACTCATCACCTAGAATCTGTCTTTTCCAGCCAAGGAAGATAATATTGATCATGACAGGCTAGATCATGTAGTGATAACACTGCTGAGCTTCAGTGGCTTGGGAATAACACAGGCCGTTTCTCACTTGTGCCTCATGCCTGCCCTCAGTTGGCAAGATGCCCTGTTCCTGCCATTCACAGCCAGATACCCCACTGGTGGAGCCCCCACCGTCGGCAGCATTGGTGGTCGCCACAGCAAGGGAAGGAGCACTGACAAGTCGCACACTAGCTGCAGCCAGCAGTGACGTGTCAGGGCAGCCACAGTCACATGACCACTCCTAATTTCAAGGGAGCAGGGAGGTGCAAACTTATGTAGATAACAAGCTTATCTACCTGGAGGGGAAAGGAGGGAAATGCCAGCGAGTTCACTGCCAAGGAAGGTATATCATCTATGGAAGCTCCTGTTCCTTTTTAAAATGGCATTTGTGCCCTAGGTAATGCCTTGAAGTAACACTGTCTCTGCTCTGTTGAGTCCTTACAAACAGTAAATTGTGTAATTTGATATAAATTATAAGACTGTTTTAAATATTGAAACCTTAAATATTGAAAAATTTATAAAGGCTATTGGAAATGAAGACTAAATTTACAAAATGTGTTTCACTGCCTCTGTACTGGAGTCTGGGGCAGTCAGATGAGTTGCTCAACTCGAACATTCATCTCTTCTTTTTTCCTTTCTTAATTGTTTTTCTTTTCAGTAACCTAATACCTTGCCAGATTTGATGAAATCTAATGACTGATTTGCTATCATCCAAGGAAAACTACCTGCATGAAATAACAAGAAACCTATAAAGATTTCAGTCCAGTTGGCTAAATAAGAAAATTTATGCAAATTAATTCAATGAGGCCTGTTAACCACTAATTCAGTCTCAACAAGGGTACTCCTTTTAATAGTAAATATTGAATTTTATAATTTGAATATTGTAATTTTTATGTAAATAGACTTCATACCCTATTCTTATATTTATATCTTTTAAAAATGCACACACATATTTAAAAGAAGAACAGAGGGCATTATTTTTATTTTAGAACCTTTAAGCATCAGAACATTTCAGGATAACCTGTTTTAAAATCTTTCCTCTCTTCCCACACCACCCCATACCAGTCCAAGAAAAGGAACTTATGATAAGTTTTGAAAAATCAAAGAAAGCCATGAAAGAAACCTTCAAGTCAGTAAGTCTTGATTAATCTTGATGCTTAGGAAAGAGAGTTTTCTAGTTATTTTAATGAGTTTAAGAAGAATCTTCTTATTATTTTATTATGATTATTATTATTAGCCACTTATTATTTGATGGCTGAGAACATTCCAAAAATAGGTAAATGTACTTTCTGCCCACCCCCGTCCTTTAATACAGTATTGTTGTAAATGTAATTGAAGCTAACAAGTGAGGATTTCATCTTGCTGAAAAAGCCAGCATCATTGGATATATTTTCCTGTAGATGAGAAAGTTTTTCTTTGACTTAATAAACTTAGATGACTCATTTCGACAGATTTACAATACACTTAGCTTATTTTAGCATAGTTTTATGTTCATGATATGATTTAATTTGGCCAAAATAAATTGGAGAAGAAAATGTATTTATTTAAATGGATTTCAAAATAATAGCATCTATTATTTGGGGCACTTACTGTGTCAGACACTATGCTAAATAACTTAACATAAGTCACTTATATGCTTTTCTATCTCTTTCTTTTACTTATTTACTGAATCACATCCTTAAAGTTTAAAATCACTCTCTACTCACTAAAGGATATGTAGCTTCTGTAGCAGAAATTATATGATGCATTATTAAGATATTTTTAAGTTAGTCACAGGAAATCTTTTCAAATCACTGACACATTAGCATTCAATAAGAATGCTATTTTTGTTTCCTATCCTGTATGTTAAAGATTAATGATTAAAATAAATCCTGAAAATACTAATAATATAACATTCTAAGTAGAATATCATTTTAAAAAACAATTGGAGTTACATTGCATTACTAACCTGTTATTAGGCACAAGTATTTAATTAGATAATTCATCAAAATTCTATTTGGAGTACTAGATATTTCATTTTTGGCTCCAAAGCCCAGGAATCTGAATTCTAGTGAGAGAACTATTTTTTTTTTGGTTTTGGACAATCTGATAAGATCTGGATCTAGGGTGTCTGTATACCTCAGTTAGGTAGTCTGATGCCACTCAGTGGTGGCTTGTCCTCAGCTTCTCCTGTTTCATATCCACACAAAGCACCCACAACCTCAGCCAACCACTTCCCTGAGTCATGAAAAGACCTCAAGAGAGGAAAGCATATGATCAACTCAGTTGTTCCACCTATGTTGGAAAATATCATTAGCCAGACTCCCAGTTTATGCTCAGCTCATGCTGGACCATATCATTAGCCAGACTCCCTGGCACCTTGTTTTTTTACTTGATTAAGCTCCTTAAAATAAAATTCGGATTTTGGGGGTTACTCCTCTGTTTATAGAACTTTCCATACCAAGTTAAGAGTGAGTTCTGCCTCCTAGCATTCAAGACCTCCAACATGCCCCAACCAACGTGACTTCATCTTGCATTATTACTTTATTTGAGCCCTTTCTTCCACCAAACTCAAATGCTTCCAATCTCTATTATAATTATTTGGTTTATCTCATTACTGGATTTGTAGAGTTCCTGAAGGCAGAGACTTGGTATTTATCCATCTTTGTCCCCACAGTGCTTACCAGGATATTAGATGTAATTGGTAATAAGTAGAGTTTCATTGAATGCAATTAGCTCAAACAACAAAATGTCATCATTAATCAATAGGTTGACCTCTCCTCTTACATCCAGGTGATCATGGAAACAACAATAATAATAACATCAACTCATTTTTGAGCATCTATTAAGCCATGTGCTTTTGATATATTATCTGAAACCTCCACAACAACGAGCATAGCTTTTTTTCAGAAAAGAAAGAATTAGAGAAATTAAATGAGGTCACAAAAATAGTCAGTGCCAGCATAGAGCTCATCTGTCTGTCTAAAATTTTTGCTTTTTCCAACACACCACATTGCCTAATAAACACAGGAGTTCTGGCTTTAGAGTGTTTCACAGGGTTGCTAAGTCCTTCTGATCTGTCTTAGAAGGAGAAGCTTTTTATTTAAAACAGGAGAGGGCAATTGTTTTCTGAAATGACATCCTTTCTACATGTAGTGGGAAAAAAGCAGGGTGTGTGTGACGTTTCAAAGATGAGTTGCACAAGGGATTTTTTTCCTTCATTATTGGGATACTTGTGGAGTTCTTGTGCTTTGAAAGCTCTTTTTTTTTTTGTAAACTGAAATGTGTTCTTTTCCTTACCAAAGTCTGTCTTTGAGTAGAGGAACATTAATCAGCAGAGTAGAAGGTGCATGGCCTCAAGAAGCTGAATTACCTGGGTTCAATCCCAGCTCTTCTTCCTTAACACTTTCTTTTCTCTGGGCAAGAATAACCAGCCAATCTGTGTTTCAATTTCTTTATCTGTAAAAATGCAGCAGTTGTGAAAATCAAGTATTCTAGTACATGTAAAATACTTAACAAAGTTCCTGGCATATGTCACATAGACAGTAGCTTAAAAAATAAACTTTTAACCCATTTCAGTTTAGTACATTGTCTTTGCAAGAATGAGGGAAAGGGCTCTTTCATTAGCCAGTGTGTTGTAACTTCTGAGATGCAGAAAGAGCCTCCTAGAACCCAGGTGTGTCTTCCATTAAGGGTCTGGCCTACTCTCAGGTAGTGATATGCACTAAGGAAAATCATACTCAATTTTTGAATGTATTTCTTTCTACCTAGAGCAAAGTAAGTTGTTAGGTTAAGCTAAGCTTTCCCCTCTCACCCCACTTTAAGACTGTCCATTCTATTTTAGAGATATTATGAAGGCCAACATTTATGGCCTCATTTGTGAAGACCCATCAGGAATTTCAAATTATGCCCCTAAAGTGTTGTTTCATTAAGGTTTTAGCATTCTTGATCCTTAAAAATACGAAACATGTAATTGACTAGATTTCCCTATTTAATTTACTTTGGTCCCAGGAAACTCAAAATCAAATTTATAGCTAATAGCATTAAGGAGTGCTATGACCTACATACTTAACATTTTCCCAATACTGTATTTATAAAAACTGGAAGATTTTTAGAAAGAGAAAAAAAAAGGACTATTTGGAGGTCTGATAGTAGATACTGTATACTTAGAAAGGTCTGGTTCCCTGTCATGCAATTTTTAAATTTTCTCATAGGGTTCTTGGGGGAGTAAAATATGGTAATGTGCGTGGAGGGGATTTGTTGTTCAGATTCTGCTCATAGAACCCTCTGGAATATTCCACAGGTGAGTATTGCCACCCATAGCAACAGGGATCTCTAGGGCACGAGGCTCCTGGAGACTAGGATAACCCCTGGCTTCCTTTTTGAGGGGCCAAGATAGAGAACATCATAATGCCCTTGGCCCTCGCACCCGCAACCCTCAGCAACATGTTCACACCACATTTTCACAACAACTGATTTAGGCTGATCAGGCAGGCACCATATCTTCAGGCCCCCGGTCAGCCAACAGATAAGAATCCCTTAAAAAGCTGGTCTACCTATCGGTGTTTTCCCATTTTTATTCATAAGCCACTTCATATTCTCAATGAAAAGAGAAGGATATGAAGAAAAATAAAAGAGAGAGCAAAGGGAAATTGGATTTTTTAGCATGATGGAAATAACAATTACAACCAAAAATTACAAAAGAGTGTCATACCCCACATTTCCTCAGTAGGAAAACCAGTCTATTCCATTTTATGAGAGCACTTAAAGCCAATAAATTCTAAAACTTTTCTAGTAGAAAATTCAGTGCCTTCCTGTGTTTAAGCCAAGCAACTAATTGTTTTATAAGTTTTTAAGAATTTTCCAAGGTAAAATGTAATTAGTTGAGTGGAAGCTAAATAAAACCTGATACTAAAGC